ATCAATGACAATAAAACAAGTATCCACAAGTAATAAACTGTACCTTTATATAAAATGAGAACACAGAGGAAAGGTATGGTAAAGGGATTAGAATAATAAAGTGAAAACCAGCAAGACAACTTCTGTACCCAGCCTCACTATATTAACACACATTGGTATACATACTTGGCTCAAAGCCACCACATTACTGTCTATTTTCTAGCTACAAAGGTTCTTTACAAACTAGCCCCAATTCATGTTTCCAGCCTCATATCCAGAAAAGACACCCACATATTTAGGCTTCAGCTACATTTCTGTGGCCCAGGAAAGTCTCGCTCTTTCACACCTGCAGACAGGAACACATTAAAAGACGTCTTCCCCTTTTCTCGGGATGCATCCCAACCCTTCACACCCTGTCTGTGCGTCCACACCAAGATAAATCGTGGGTTTTGAGTCATCTCTGGCTTTTCCTCATTAGGGCGAAGTTAGAGGCAAGTCCTTTGTTACGTTTTTTAAAACTGTAATCAACAATATGCAGCCGCATAGTCTGGATAATTCATGAACGAAATGTGGGTTCGGGACCAGGTGATGGGGAAAGCCTGGGCACACCGCCGCGGCGCGCACAGGGCGGTTGAGTCTTTACCCGGTGGCAAATTTCTCCCAGCGGTGGCAGGAGGCCGGCTCGGGGGAGGACGGCTGGGGAAGGACGCTGGGGGGGGGGGGGCGGCTGGGGAAGGAGGCTGGTGGAGGACGGCAGGGGGAAGGTGGCTCGGGGAGGACGGCTGGGGGAGACCGACCTCCAAACCACCTCGCAGATACCTCAAGCTCTCCGCTCAACAGCTGCCTTCCTAGAAAATCCTTCCCGGGGAGGAAACCCCCAGATTAGGCCGAGACAGGTCCCCTTCGCCTCCCCAAGACCCAGAATGACTTCCGCCAGGACCGGCCTCTCGGGTGGGGCAACCGAAAACTCCCTTCACCTCAGCGGACTCACCTCCCGACACCGCGGCGCCCGAGCCCGCGGGTTCCCGCGCCGGCGCTTCCGGGCGTTGGCGTCGCCCCGCCCCCCGGCCCGCGAGGATTTCGATTGGCTCGCAGCAGAGCGCCGGAGAGGAAGACAGCGCCTATTGGCCAGCGCCCTGCCCCGGCTTCCGCTCGCGCCGCTTTCAAATCGGAGCGTGCGCCGGGTGCGCCCCGCCTCTTGCAGCTGGTGTCTGGGCGCGGTACCGGGGCTGCCTGGACCCGACCGCCCCGCGCGGGGGCCGGTGCCTCTCCGAAGAGCTCATGTACCAGAGTATGTTGTGTTTATGCGGCGGGTGGCAGAACCCATTAAGAGCAGGCAGGTTTGGGGGTCCCGGGATGCCCCTCACTCTGCCCCGAAACAGTTACAGGAATAAAGCAACTAATTTATGAAATACAAACATGAGGAGTCCTACTGCTTAGTCTACTTTCCAGTTAACTGCCTTTTATTGTTAGCATTTAAAGTGTTTTCTGTTATGATTTTGTATTTGCCTGCTTGCTGGATTACTGGTATTTTCTGTTTTAATCCCTTTTGTAGCGCCTCACTTTTTTCCTACCGCAAATATAATTGCCTCTCAATTACAGATCTCTCTCCAGAACTGGAACTGATTTCTTACTTCCTGGGGTGGTTCTTTGAGAAATGAGTCACAACTCTTAGAAAATGCAGGAACTGTACTGACTCTAGAAAGGAGAGACGATATAATAAAACAAGCAAATAATAACGTTTTGGCAATCCAAGTGAAAGGATTAGATAAAAGAAAAAGAAAAAAAGAACCACTTGTGATAAATGTGCAATTTCCATTTGTCCACTAGAGGGAGGTATGTTCACTGATGGGAATAGATGCCTGGCTGATTTTCCTTAAATGTACAGGTGTCATTGGTTTAAAAAAATGGAATCTTCTAATATTGTAATTTTTTAATGTGGAAGATTAATATTTAATAATTTTAATTTAAAACTATTATTTAATTTGAATAATGGTTTCTTCAGTTTATACCAGAACACATCATAGCTGGCTCACTTAGCATATTTACATATACAAAAATTGTATCTTATTTATACAAAGAATTATTTGTCAGTATTCACGTATATAAAAATATTTTCTTTAGCATGGGGTATTGATTTAGGAATGCTAAACTATCATAGTTACTTCTTGAGTTGATTGTTAAATTTTACTTAGCGCTCTGGCAGGGGGAAGATGTTTCAGATCGTAAGCTTAATGATTTTAATTTTGAAAAATTTTTCAAGTCATTGTACATAGATCAATTTGATTTATTTTTTGTGGCATACCTTTTTTTTTTTTTTGCTGTGCCAGTTAAGTCTATTACATTATAATAATTTTAACTGCTTTCCATATCACATAGCTGAAGACACATTCCCTTTTTTTTTCAGGTAGGTATACACTTAAGTTATCCAAGGAACTTATGTAATTTTCCTTTAAAAACTCTAAAAAGGTGGGCCTCCCCGGTGGCGCAGCGGTTCGATCCCCGGCTGCTCCCCAGCCACCAGAGGAGGGTCCCGCATGGCGCGCAGACCTCTCCTGCGGCCCGCTGCTCCCCTCAGCAGTGTACTTCGGTCCTTCTGCCTGCTCTGCTCCCTGCTCTGGCTCTGGTGAATTCTCTCACCCTCCCGCGCTTCTGACTGTACCCAGTGCATGTATAAACAAAACAAACAAACAAACATAAATAAATAAACATGCCCCTAAAATAAATAAAAAAAAATAAAAACTCTAAAAAGGATATTATACTCTTACTACCTCAAGGTGGGGGAAGCAAATAAAATAACATAAGGAAATACTTTCTGGAACTTCCTAGAATTGAGACTGAATTCTTCCTATTGATATTTAAGTTCATACTTCCTGGGAAAGTGAGGATTTGATTCTGCCAATTTTATCTTATTTATACAACTGATAGTTCTTTTTTCCTGATTCCGAATGGGGAAAGAATATAATTAAAAGAAATGTAACATTACTGATCCCTGAAAATTTTACAATTAAAAAATCCTTATTAGAAAACCACTATATTAATAAAATAAATACTTCAATTATACATACATTTTCTATAGCATTATCATGTATCAGGAACATAATATTAAAGTGGTGCATATGGGGCCTCCCTGGTGGTACAGGGGTTAAAAACACAGCACTATCAAGCTATCACCACTGCAATTTGTGTTCGATCCCTGGCCAAGGAGATAACCCACATGATGCTGCAGACCTCTCCTGTCTCACCCACTGCTCCCCTCAGCAGTGTATTTCAGTAGATCCACCTGTTCTGCTCCCCAGTCTGTCTCTGGAGAATCCTCTCACCCCCCCACACCTCTGACCTACACTCCAGTTCTTGTATGCATAAATAAATAAATCTTTTAAAAAAGTAAACTAAAGTGGTATATGTGGATTGCTGTCAGAGATGTGTTTCCTAAGATTCCAGCAATTGTGTTATGCCAGACTTTGCTCCTTCCTTGGCTTCTTGACAGATGGGCAGAGTTTAGCTAATAGCTACTTCTTGAAGAGAGTTAGACTTCTAGTTGGTTATGTTTTCCTATCTGATTTAATATCAGTGTTTCTTTTATAGGGTTAGTTGTTTAAGAGCTTGTGGGCAATTTTAAATATCAGCAAGAGGCTGAGTTCCATGTTGACAAAATGCAAAGTAAATCTCAAAGAGTTTTTGACTATAACATACGATGAACGTGGCAAGATTTATGGTGACTCTAATTGAATACATACAGTGAGGAAAATGAGGCTATGTGAAGAACATGTGATTATACCCTCATTATTTTAATGCACATTGTTATTCACAGTTCACAAAGATTCTGTAAGACTGAATTAGTATTTACAAGGTATTTAGGGGATACACCATTAAAGTCTATTATGAATATATTATTACGCATGATGATAGTGTGGAATAATAATAAAGTTCTGTTTTACAATGCCCTAGTCAGTTCTGCAATATTTTTAAATGAAAAATTTCAAACATACAGAGAAATTAAAAGACCTAGTAATTGCATATATTCTCTTTCACTGTGTTATCACACATTATATTTTGTCCAGGGCAAAGGCATCAGGGGGTATAGTTATTAAATCAGACAGCTTTTAAATATGAAAATATCCTACTTACCTACTTACTGTGTTCCATAGTATCTTTCTATAACTGGGGGGGAAGGGGGACACGGAAGACAAGACATCCATTTTTTTCTCCTAAGAATTTAAAATCCATGAAAAGGGTAGAGGAGGGAGAAAGGAGAGAAATTAATGTTTATTGTGAACTGATAGCCACCAGGAGAGTACTAGGCATCCTTGCATACATTATCTTATTTAATCCACACGACTACCCTTTGAGGTATTATTCCATTATACACGTAAGGAAACAGGCTCTGCGAAGTCAAATAATTTGCCTTAAGGATGTGAATTCAAAGCTTATGCTTTTTACACTATACTTGGATACATCCTTTCCAGGATATTTTCAAGACGTAGAGTAAAAGTCATGATGACAGTGTTTGTGTATAACACGTAACTTTGTGTGTGCGTGCTCCCCTCCCCTTAGACGTTTAGGTTGACGTGATGAATACGTTAATATATTATGTTATAATATTAACAAACTTTAGATGTAGAACCAGGACATGTACTTGAGTTTTTGGGGTACGTTATTAGACATCATAGAAAAAAGGGATAATTACTGCCTCTTTTCCACTTCAAAGGACTGATCTGATGACCAGGCAGCCAAGACTAGTTGGTAGTCATAACAAGAATAAACTACGACTCCCAACATACCCAAAGAAGCTGACCCCAGCCCGGGAAACAGTTCCAGCTTTAGGGCAAAGGTGACCCCGCCGAGTCCTGCGGCGAAGTGGGGAGCAGCCTGTCCACGCCTCGTTTCTGATGCATCCAGGGATTTGTAGTTCCCTCAAGGCCAGGGTTTGGCCTCAGGGCAGGCTAGTTACTACAAGTCCCGTGATGACCCGAGGCGCGGGCAGCGCCTGCGCGTGGAAGCCGGGTGAGCGTGCGGGCGGTGCTAGTGGCGGGAGGAATAAAGATGGCGGTGCGGGGGTCTCCGCCTTCTGCTCCCGGGTGAACCGCTCTGAGGGAGGCGGCAGTGGCAACCCGAGCAGCAACGGCAATCTAGTGGTGGTAGTTTCAGCGGCGACTACTGAGGCCGGAGCAATGGCGGAACTGGAGCACTTGGGCGGGAAGCGCGCGGAGTCGGCGCGAATGCGGCGGGCTGAGCAGCTTCGGCGCTGGCGGGGCTCGCTGACAGAACAGGAGCCCGCGGAGCGACGAGGCGCGGGGCGGCAATCGCAGACGCGTCGCGGGAGCCCTAGGGTCCGCTTTGAAGACGGGGCTGTCTTCTTGGCCGCTTGCTCTAGCGGGGACACTGACGAGGTGAAAAAGCTTCTGTCAAGAGGTGCCGACATCGACACGGTCAACGTGGACGGATTGACAGCCCTGCACCAGGTAACTCCTTTCTCTGTCTTAGGCGTCCAGTTTCTATAGATCAGCCTGTGACCCTTGCGAACCGCCCCACGGAGAGTGTTAGTGTCAGTGCCAACCCTCCTGCATGGAGCCGGGTTCCTTGGGGCTAGTCGGTTTCACTCTCGGCCAGCTTCCTCGGCTCATCAAGTGTTTTTCCAACCCCAGGGTCTCTACCTGAAGCAATAGTGTCACCCCGCTGCCTGGTCAGTGTTTGTATTTCCCTCCACCTACTTGGGTTGTCATGGTTACCAGTGATTTGGTCCCTGATGTTGTTTCTATAGATTAGTCACCTTCACTTCTGTCTGGTTGGTGTGCCTATACATCGTGTCACTCATAAGCATAGTCAATGTCATTTGTCTGATCCCTTTCAGAAAATTCAGTTTTCTATTTGTATGACCCTGTTAGAGAATGTCTTAGATCTCTGAAAGAATATATCCCTATGTTGGGTTAGGTCAAGCAAATCTTCTGAAACCACACCTCTTGCTTTGCTGATTTGTAATGATTCCAAAAGAGTTTGTGTCTCCAACAGACTATAGCTCCTAGAACACCCCTGACCTCATTGCTATGGGTGTCTTATATACTTCTCAGCAGTATTACCTCCTTAAGTGCTTCCTATGGAGACCCAACCTACTGAATTACTTACGCTTGTTTGATACTTATGGAATAGCTTTTCTCCCCACTGTTGCCTAAAGTCCTCTTATAGAAACCACATGTCCTATATATAGTATATTACCCGGCTTGTGAATAACCTGCAGTTCTGTGCTCTGTAATAACGCTTTTACTTCTCTCACCTTATGCAACCATATTCTGAATATACCGACTGTCATAGCTATCTGCATCCTCCCTCCCCAAATGGAACTTCATCAGTTATTTTGGTAAGCCAAGAACTGGACACCCACTCTTAATTTTTCTGATTTTTCTTCTTCTGCCGTCTGTGCAAAGTGAGTGTGTTGGCATGAGAATCCATTTCTAAATAATAATTGAATTTTATGTCAAACCACTTTCCTGAATATATTAGCCAGTAGCTTAAAATGATTCCTCACCATGATTGCAATCCTTCTCTTTAAGATGGAAGAAATTTCTCCTTTTCATTTTGTTTGTATCCATTTTTTTTTTCTGTTTATAACACTGTCCCTCGTAAGGTAGCAGTCTACATTTTTAAAGTGCTTTGTAGTTTAAAATTTATATTTTTAACTGATGTGTTTTAACCTTGTGTGAATCTCAGCAGAGATCTTCTGAAGTAGTTGTGGCAGGTAGTAGGATATTGTTGTTTCCATTTTACAGGTGAGGAATCTGAAGCTCAGAAAATTACTTGTTCAATATTAAAAAGGAGAGAAGTTGCCCTAGGCCTGGCCCTTTTCATATTTCAATTCCAGAGCTTTATATCCCACCTAATATGGCATTGAATATAAAAACAAGATAGTGCTAAGAGGATCACTCAGTCATTCTTTTTATTATTTCATTTTTTTCATTCATTATTTTAAATTTTTGAACTCTTTCAGAAGTCGAGTTCTTATTTTAAACAAATGTATTTGGGATGGGAAGGAGATTGGGGCAGATCGTAGAAGAAACCATTCATGGGTCATAGAGGCTAGAGACATAGAATCCAGCTTTCTTGGCCATGTGTTCTTTATTGAATCTTTATTCTATTAAATAAGAGTTTTCTTAGTGTAACTCAATAGTCCTGTTTCTTTTAAAGTGACTCTGCTGGCTGAGTGTGGTCTTTACAATATGAATTTTAATAGTAGCTTGAGAATAAATTTACTTTGAGGTTACTCATGGTACACATCTCCTTCCCAAACCTGCTAATAACCACTTTTCTGATCTCTTCTCCTGAGATTGACCTCCCTGGTACTTTTTCGTCTCTCTTTACCACCACCCCAAATTATAAAGTGCAGCTTCCCTCAGTTAATATGCTCAGTAATTTCTTGAAATAGCAGAGGAAGGAAATGACAACTATGGATTTAAAAAAAAAAACATGCAAATGCAATGTAGGTATTCCTCCCTATTCACAGGGCTAACAATGAGTTGGATTGAATAGGTGTACTCAGTCTTGGACAAATTCAGCTAAAGATTAAGCTGCTTAAAGGTATGAAGTCAAAACAGCCTTCTGTTGAGAAACCATCTCTTTGTTTGAATCAAGACAAGAGGCCTTTATTGGCTCAGGAACTCTTTTACAAGTCATCTAACTTTTGCAGAGTTAACAGTATGTTTCTCCAGGGTCTGAAGGACTCTTAAGGTACATAGAATATTATTTTTGAAATGTGGAACTGAGTAGCCAGTCTACTTTATGACTGATTCTTTTTCTGTGAAATGGAGACTGGTACAAATATCTGTGTTATTTAGTTCAACTGTCCATCTGTTATACAAGCATCTTATGAATTGTCAGGATCATTGTCCTTTCTTATGTTTTGGCCATTGCCTCATGGCCAACTAAAGATATCATTTCGGCATGTTGGAAGAAACCCCCAGATGATATGGGGGACAATTCTTCTCTTCCCACAAGTTCATAGATGATTTGCACTTCAGGTTGTGGTGCCTTGATGCCACTTTTGACTTAAAGACCTTTCTTTCTTGGCAGCCTTTGCTTAGACCACGAGGTGCTTGAGTCAAAGATAACAAACTCAGGGGGCCTATTAATAATTCTTGAAATAGACTGGGATAAGAAGGATCTCAAAGGTTAGACCCGCACTGATAAAAGCCTTGGAGACTGATGCACACTAAATTTGAGTGAATAAGATTTGTTGTGTATGCACTTAATATTCTAGAATCTTCAGTAAAAAAGATGTTAATCTGATTATGTAACCCCTGAAATCACTTGTTTGCTCACAAAGTATCTCCCATTTCATTTATGTACACACTGTATGGCATGCTGGGTAGGTTAATAATTCTGTATGGTCTGGTACTTTACATTTCTTTATTTACTTGTTTTGCAAGTTTGATTATTAGTACCTATCTTGGTATTCTTACATTTTGATCATGAGTGCTTTAGGTCTAAATGTAGATTCTTAAAACTGAATTGAACTTTTCTAAGAGGCAAGAGCTTGCATTGGGAAAGGAAATTTTCTGGGACTCAGTGTGACTGTCCACTTATTCCTTCAAAATATATTGTATCTGTGCTGGGTGTGGTGGAGGACTATCAGTCTGCATAGATCTTGTCTCTCATGAAGTCTAATAAGTCCTCATTTGGACAATTCATAGGAGCCTAGAGTGATTCTCTACTACTTGACTGAAGCCCATGCTAGTTTTGTAATAGTCTCAGTATTCGAGTTTTGACTGTCACAGTTATTCCCAGACCGGAATTCAACTCAGTATATCCTCTGTCATTCTAGATATGCTTCAATCTCTAGCCTCAGGGAGATTAAGACTATTTCCCTGGAAGAAAGGTAGAAATAGGAAGTCATGAGGGAAAGTGGAAAGGTGGAGCAATTTATATTTAGGGTGGACAGACGACTAAGACAATAATATGTTCATTTCAAAGATGTGCTTAGAAGTCCTTGTAAGTGGAGGGACAAAAGAAAGCAGTCGAGGATGACAGAGCACTGTGGGCAGAGAAATTGGAATGAGTGTGATGTGTAGGCAGAGACACTGGGGAGTCCTAGCAGATATGTTTGGAGGATTAGGAATGGGGATGACATCCTAGAGGGCTTTGAATATCAAACGTCAGACCAAGAAGACTTGATGATGTCCTTCGGTAGAGGACCTTTGTGGGTTTGGGCAGGGGAATTAACCCAACCAAAACAGTATTTTAGAATACTTCTTTTGAATACAGAATTTGAATTTGGAATGCAGAATTTGATTGGATTTTAGAATGAATGGAAGGACAGAGAGGAAAGAACTAGCCTAGAAACTGGAAATAAGGGGAGGGGTGGAAGGATACTATGTTTCACGCCTGTGAGTCTGAAAGGTTTGTGTTACTCAGATAGAAGTAGGATTCAGTCCAATATTAGGCTGAGGTGCTCTGAAGCTATCCCAGTAGCAATATCCTCTAGGCTTCTATGTGATTTAAGGTTAGTCACCTCCCTTTCTAGGATCCAGTTTTCTCATTTAAAATGAGAGACTTCAACACTAGTACAAAGATGAGAGTTGAAGCAATGAGTGTGGAAGAGGAGGGGGGAAATATAAAAGAGAAGAGGAAAAAACACAGTTTGGTGGTAGGCAGAGAATGCAGAAATTCAAGTTAGAATATGGGAGTATGTTGTAGCCTGAATGCCCCCTCACAGATGTATGTCCACTTCCTATCAATAATTTCCAGAACCTGTGAATATGTTACCTTACATGGTAAAAGGGACCTTGCAGGTGTGATTAATATAGGATTTTGAGGTGGAAAAAGTAATCCCACATTGTATGAGGGAGGCAGTAGATGTGATGACAGAAGCAAGAGATTGGGGTGCTCCTAGGAAGAGGCCAGACCCAAGGAATATCAGCAACCCTAGAAGCTGAAAAAGTCTCCTTTCAGACCCTTTAGAAGGAACCAGCCCTGCTGACAACTTGATTTTAGCTCAGTGAGACTGATTTCATACTTCTGACCTCCAGATTTGGGAGATAATAAATGTATTATTTTCAGTCATTGAGTTTGTGGGCATTTATTACAGCAGCAATAAGAAACTAAATAGAGAGGAGAACCAAGAAACACAATGTAAAGAGTTTCAAGAAATATTTGATCAATAGTGCAAAATAAAATTGAGGACAAGGCTTTAAAATAACTGTTGGATTTGGTCAACCTTGGAAAGAGATGTTTTGGAGAGAGCTATTTTTTGTTTGTTTTTAAAGATTTATTTATCCAAGAGCTGGGGTACAGGCCAGAGGCGCTGAGGGTGAGAGGATTCACCAGAGACAGAGCGGGGAACAGAACAGGCAGATGGACCAAAGCACCGCTGAGGGAAGCAGCAGACGAGACAGGAGAGATCTGCTGTGCCATGTGGGTATCTCCCTGGCTGGCCCGGAATCGAACAGGAGCTACAGGCTGCAGACAGCTTCAC